GGGGGGGGGGGGGGGGGGGGGGGGGGGGGGGGGGGGGGGGGGGGGGGGGGGGGGGGGGGGGGGGGGGGGGGGGGGGGGGGGGGGGGGGTTTTTTTTTATATAACCTGCAGCAATACCTTGTTCCACCCTTAATCTACACTGAAATCTCTGCAGCATTCCTGCCAGCATAAGGAATGCAAGGCAACAGGAACAGTAACATTTGGAAGTTATGTGCTGGTCATTAGGCATATCATCACCAGCAAAATCATGATCCTGAGCAAAGTCAGTCTATTTGTAAAGAGTCTTGCTTTGCCAAGACTAATGGACAGAAATACTTTTCTAAACAGTCGTCAGAAAGAAGCCTCCTAAACACAATGAAAAATAAACACCATTTTTTCAGTTCCCATAATGTTTAAGCAAAAAAAAAACCAAAAAACAAAAAACAGGGGGCATGCTTTTTTTTTTTTTGCATGAGACAAGTTGTCCTCTCCCACAGACTCCGGAAGACTGAAATCCACAGGCAAGGTTTAACTGTGATGCCAAACTCTTGACTCTTAAAATACAGTTACAATAAAATGTAGAGATCCCATCAGGTCTTCTGGTTTCCTTTTAGTCCACATGCACATGTTTAAGCAAAAATACCGTTGAATTCTAAACATGAGACTAAGGGGAGGGGAGGAAGTTGCTTCCTCACTTTTCAGTTTCCTCGGCAATTTTCCCAGCATCTGCATCAATGCTTAGCTTTCTTCAAACACAGCAGAGCTGCTGCATTTTCAGTGATGCCCACAGCTGCATGGTTGGCGACATGCCGGCTTTTGTATGTTTGGTTTTGGCTGGTTGTCTTAAAGGCTGTATGAAAATCTTACCAGAAAACACACAAGTGGAAATAGGCAAAAGTAATGCATTTTCCTCCTATAGGAGGTGTCCATTCTTTTCTTCACATGCACTCTAGCACACCCTTGTAGGAAGGAAGCCAGAGACTACTGAAAACGCCCAGGCATTGCCATATTCAATTGCAATGACTGAACTCACAAGCATTTAAAGGGTCCAGTCCCACTTTTATAAGCTTCAGAGAGTTTGGTCAAGCTGAACTGACATCAAACCAGAGCAGAAGGTTATACAAATGAAAGACGTTTTCTAAACCAAGTGTGAAATTGAGCAACAGAAGAAACAGCTGCAATGTTTTACTTGTGAGCAAAAAAAACCCAGTTTGTCAGGGGGTGCTCCCTTTCCTCCGGGAGCTTTGCTTCAAAGCTCCTACAACATAACACATTTACAATCAAATGCAGAAGAAAAAACAATCCCCCACCCACCCACCAAACCCCCTCAAAAACCATTTCTCCAGACAATGAGCAAATATGGAACATAAGCAGTTATCTCTTCTCTCCAATAATAAATATTCTCTTCTGTAGTATCTAGGGGTTTTGTTTGTTTTCAATTTTTATTTTTTTTTTTAAATCACTGGACTAGATAAGTAAACCTGAGTTCTGAAATGATGCTCTTAGTGCTGATATTTTATTATCGATAGGCCATCACAACTCATCATAAGTTTTGAATGGTGAAAGGTTGAGGGTTTTTTGATACCTTCTTCAAAAATAATGGGAAAAACCAACAGTAAGAAATAACTGAACCTTGTAAAAAAGTGATCTCCTTATTTCCCATCCCATGAATTCACAACTGGGAATAATTACCTGTTACTTGCTTGTCTGGAAGAGATGGGATTGGAATGGCTAATCCAAATTTAACCAGAAGACGCTCATACAACCAGTCAAAGTGCTTGTATCTGTGGTTGACAGACCGATTAGTGTTCTGTAAGAGAAACACAACTCTGAATTTTGACAGGCATCTACAGATAGTGACATGAAACAAGCGTGACCAGAATAGTAAATATGTGGAATGTAAATAAAGTTTATGATTTAGAGCCTTGAATCTGTAATTGCAGAAGAACTTGAAATGCTAGAACAAAGTAACTCTTTGGAGAAAAAAGCGTGACAACTACCACTTATTCTTACAACCCTGTTACCAAGTCACACAAACTGCATTATTTATCTGTACAAATTACCCATATTTGCGGGAGAAGATCCCGTTTCAGATACACTTACAGTGCAGGTCAGCTGATATTCAATGTAGCTCTTCAGACCATACATTTTAGAACCTTTTTTGGGATCTGCCACCACACAGTCAAATGTAGAGGTAGGATAAACCCACATTGGGCCATAATCACCAATCTGTAAGAAATTGCAAATATTATCTTTAAAGACATCATGTTGTACCAGCTGCAAACAAAGAAACAAATACTTTCTCTCTTCACTTGAAAGTTTCCATTGATTTCAGCGAGAGCTTGATAGTCAGAAAATAGAGGGGTTCCTTGCAACCAGAGATAATTGACCATAGTTGTGTTTATCTTATTCTGTATTTTACAATTTTTCCTAAATAGCGAAGGAGCAGTGAATTCTGGGGATTGCTACTTCAACCACATTTCACTATAACAGCATATATCTAGAAGAGTTTGTTTTTCAGATCAGAAGATGACCTTACCATCATGATTGAATATTGCAAACCTTATGAATGTAGCTCCTGTGTATTAGATAACTATCTAGATAACTAATAGACAGTATAATGCATTTGCTCTGCCTCCCAATCCCAAAAAGGCTTATTTTCATGATCACAGGTAATGCAAATCCAGCATGAGAAAAAAAAAGTACTAAAAAAAAATAAATCAGCACACTTAGAAGAAAGGAGGAGTTAAGACTTGACTCTGAAAAATCCCTCAATGATACATGACTCTGAAATATAGTCTACCACAACTTTAAAAATACTTAAATGGTACACAGTTTTATTATGACAGTTCTATTTCTAATTGTCTGTTCAGTATCAGTTTCTTCTGACCCAAATACATATAGCAACCCTGAGGCTAAAAGTTAGGTTGGGGGAAAAAGGGAAAGGTGGGGAAGATAAAAAAAACCACAAAAAACCCCAAAACAAAAACCCCCAACCCCCAAAAAAACCACACCACCCACACACAAAAGCTACACACACATCCAACTTACAATTATGGGAATTTTCTCTTTGGGTTTTGCTAGCTGCTTTGCCAACAGATACTGTTCCATCCCAGGTTTTGCAAATCCAGGAAATCTAACAAACAAAGTGATCGGTTTATTCCTTATTTTCCTTCCCTTGACATATGCAGAATTACCTACCACTATAGGAAAAAACCCTTAGTACTTCTCAAGTGTAGAAAGAAATTGATGTGGATTACGTAACCAACAATTTGCCCTGAAAAAGCAGAAAAGTTTTAGCTACTGACCTCCAGCTTTTATTTGTGTAATACACAAATTCCAAGGCAGAGTAGCTATTTGTACTCTGCAGCCCATGAGAGCAAAGGTTAACAGGAGGACACAAAGTATTATCTGCCACTCCACTGCCATCCACCCTCTCTGGAAACGCGCACACACACATGCTCATGCACACCATCCTGCCATTTTGGATAATGAGGATTCGATCATCTGAAAGAACGACGAACTGCAGATTTATCAAGTGCTTCTAAACATGAGTTACGTTAAATAATTTATCCACCAATTAGAAAGAAAACCACACACGCACAAAAAAATCACTGTAATGTCCTTAAAGTCTGTGTAAAAAGTCTTACAAAAAGCAAATGGTGGTTCTCTTTCTAATTAGGAAGATACTTAGCCCTTCAAGTATTGCCAACTTACTGCCCGCTTGCAGAAACACAGGGAGTAAAGTAGGACTTACTTCACAGACAAATAACGCTCTTAAATAACGTATGTTTATGCTGGTTATACTAAATGGGTTTGCAAAAAGTAGATGCCACAATGATGCAAAGGTACTGTTGCAAAACTGAACAAAACCTCCACTGATGAACAAAATCAACTGTCTCTGCATGACTAGTTGTTAATTTTAGTTACCTACCGAAGGAGACCATTATTCTACAATCCTTTTCCACTCTGCTTTCATCCCCTTAAAGATTACCACCCAGTAGCTTCTCAGAGTAACAGTAGTTTTAGAATAAACAAATATTAAGTTGTAACATGAGATAATGCTAGTATAACCCTGACAAAGCTTCATGCTATTGTAAGATTTTTATCTAAAAATCGAGCTTTCTGTAGCTCAAGAATCAACCTGGGTGATGGACAGACACAGGAGAGCACAACTTTTCCCCACTCATAGCAACTCAAATTGCTCACGAACTCTGGGGCAGCATGTCTGATTGGTCTTGCTGTATGGACAAGCCATCAATCACCTTTCATTTTCACTAAGCACACATAGCGTTAAAGACTGTTAAATTTTAAAGACCAGTAGGTCCAGAAGTTCAGACCTTGCAAAAGTGTCATTTGCCTGTGTAACACCTCCAAAAATTATACAGCTTTGTCATGTACCTTCAGGCTTTCATGGATCTGTGTTCTCTGATCACACAGGGAGAATGCTGAGCTACAAATCCATCTCCACTTTCACCCCAAAACTGTGATATTTACATTGCATATTTCAAGAAGGTTGAATGGTCACATATTTACACATCTTGACAAATTCCAATTCTCTTCAATATATACACATTTGCCCCGCATTTTCCATTACTTGTTAAGTGGTAACTTCATAGCAGCTGCACGAGAATTTCCACGCTGGACCCCCCCAGCTTCTGATGCCTCAGTCTCCTTGTAACCAAGATAAGACGGTGAAGTTGATTTTGGGTCATCCCAGTCATCATCCCAATCATCGTCATCAGCAGCTGCTGAAGTACAGGAGGGGGTATGGGGGTAGAGAAGAGAGAAAGTTAAGTATTTTCTCTTTAAAAGCAGAAGCAGCTACCTCAGCACTCATACACAAATAATCAACAAGGTAAATATATTAAGAGCTAGTTCAGCCTTCTATTTTAATGATTCCTCCTCAATTACCACCATCCCCACCAAATACAACCTGCAAAATGCTACACTAGAAATCCATTGAGGGAGAAGGAAGAAAAAAAAAAGGAAAAAGGAAAGAAGAGATGCTGGTGTGTTAAGATGAATTCAACAGTGTTCCATGTTCATAGACTCCACATTAGCATTCCTCGGTTATGAGTTCTCCTCTTAATTTAGGCATTTACTACAAAAAGGTAGAGAAGCCTTCTGAAAGGCTAGCCGCTTCCTAAAATTAAGGATTTAAGAGACTACTACTTCACAAGCCTGAGGGCACAAATTCAAGGGTGTTTAAGTTCCAGTTATGCAAGCTGAACAACATGCCTGAGAATAGATCATGTGTGCACCAGACTTTGGCTTGCTAGATTTCCATACAAGTCTGAGGTGTCTGTTATGGTGGATTTTTTTTTTTTATTTTTTTTTTTATTTTACCTTAAAAAAACCCTACTATTTTAGCATCCAGTTTACCCATGTGGCAATGTGCTACTAGGAAGCTGGTTCTGTTTTGTTTTTTTAAATAAGCCATGTTCTATAGTCATGAAAGATTAAGCAATTCTTACCTCTGCTGTCCACCTACTCTAATGTATTAAAAAATGAGAGCATTATTAGCACACCTGGTCCTTGATATGCCTGTGGATGACCAAATGCTGCTGCTGTCTCCCAGTTATTTGAAGCACTGTTTCTCTGGCCAGCTGCACTTTCAGGTTTCGTTGCCCAGCTGTCAACAGCATTTCCATTATCCCAGTTCCCAGACTTCCCAACGTTCCAGCTGGACCAAGGATCACTGGCATTGTTTGCCTACATTGTATAAAGACAAAAGTAAAGAAAAAATAGCTGAAGAAGTGAGCAACAACCACATACTTTCTTCTTGAAGTCTTTGATCTCCTGCTGACAGGCTATGAGTTTGCATTCAGCACTTTACTCGTTCGATTTAGGAGCAGCTGCCAAATCTTACATTCCCAGCTACACAGCTCTTAAATGCAGTAAGCACCTGGAAGAACTGATCAGCTTTCCAGCAATGTGACACCAACACATACTAATAAGAGTGTTACATCTCCTAAGGGAAATTAAACTATTTGTTCCAACAGTGTTAGGAATCACTCTTACCCAGGGTAATTATTTTACACCAACACCATAAGTATGGTGCATGTGAACTATTAATTACATAAAGCCATGGACTAATTAGCACATTTAAAACAGAAACTCAAAAGTCAAGGATTAGGTTTTTTCAAATGCTTATTTTATCAAACTCAGATTAGTGGCTTTACTAAAAGCAAATCATAAATTGTCCACCCACACCATCACTATTGGCGTGACAGTTAGGGAGTTAGGGCCAGCAACCTGCTCAGCTTCCCTGTCAGAGCTTAACTCATTCACAGCAAAGATGAGGGAAGGAAACAAACATCTGCCAGGGAACAGTCTGGCATCTCCCTGCAGACCTACTCTCTCAGCCTAAGCTTCTGGTGAAGGTAATCACACATACCCTTCTGCTGATGCTGTTGTGGAGGTGGAAACCTCAGTAAAAGAGTGTAGAGCAGACATGTCTCTAACCACTGCATCAATTTGTCAAGTTCATCTGTCAGTAAGTTGGATTAATAGCTTAGCATGCCGCTCAGCTCCTTCATTTTAAGACTACACTTTGAAAAAGCATTGACTAGTTAAGTGCAGTCTACTCCAGACACTTAGTGCAGAGACTAGCTGGAAGAAAGAAAAAAAAACCCACACAAATCAAAACCCACGCACCCGAAGTGTAGGAGGAAGGAGGAGGAGAAGGGGAAGGAAAGTAAACAAAGCCTACAAAGCTTGTCTTGTTCAGCAGAGGGAGAAACTGAGTTTCGTAAAAGGAAGTCTCAAAACCTACAGAAACCAGTGCATTATTTTTATAATGAAGCAGCGTATCAAAGAAGGGAAGCCTAATATAAATTAATTGCTATTAGATTGTAACATTTACATGAAAACTTAGAGCATTTGCCAGTACAGGAAATTTAATAAAACTCCCACTAAAAGCCAAATTATTCTCTGCAAAACTGTTGAATACGTTTGTTTCATACACAAAAAAAGGTACAGCTACTCCACATTCCATTTTTCTTCACTAAAATTCTCTCCTCTCATTTCAGCTTTGAGATACTACTTAAGAATGAGAGCTCTTGCTTTAGTTTTTCCTAAAATAGTCATCTGACAGTCAGATTTCACAGACGCTATCAAACCTTTAAGACTTGAAAATGCTTTGGACCTATACTATTGATACCATGTAACACCTGTTCTTTAGGTACAGAATCCCCAGGATCTGGAAATTAAACCAAGCCCCCAAGCTAGGGGGAAATCACCATTCAGAAGACTCACTAGAGTCAGTGGGTCTCTAGGAATTGATGGAGTGAGAGAGATTATGTGGACAGCTTCTACATTGATAGTTTGGGGAATTTTTTTTGAGGACGAAACTGATGCAAGAACACTACTCCCTAAGCAAGCGATATCATTGAGGTCTACCTAATTCTTGGATAGATGCTACACAGTGCCACTCTCAGCAATTACAAAAGAAGTTGCTGGTAGCTTATGAGGTACCAGCCTGCTCTTCCTACGATGTTCACCTGATACGAGTTGATGTCAAGAGAAAAAACCATACGTGCCATCAGTCAGAGTTTATCATCTTTGCTAAAGGAAAACACGTACACCGGGGCCCAACCACATGGGAAAGCGTGCCTGCTCCTAACATAACTTAGAGCACCTAGAAAAGAATAGTTTGCATAATATTCATTTGCATATACTTCTGCAATATATGTTGTGCTGATCAGTGGCAAATGAAAGCCCAGAAGTGGGATGATTGCCAAAAGGCTGAGTAAAGTTTTCCTCTTCTCTGTAGTTCATGTGAAATCTGGTACGTGAGTGGGTGGAAAAGAAACCTTAAAATCGCTGCAAAACAAGGGGGAGGCAATAATATTAACACTGGCTACGCTACTAAAGAATGACTGTCAAGAGTGATCACCACCAAACTTGCAGACAGTTGCTGATATACACTAAATGCTGTACAGCAAGGGGAAATGGATTACTTAAACTGCCCTCTCAGATGCTTTATCTCTATGTACCTATATGGAAACACTATTCAAATCAGAAAATTTTACTTCTGAAGTGTCCAAGAAAGCTCTGGGGTAAGCTCTTGCCCCTAGTTTTATCGCCCACAGGCTGTAAAAGGGGTGGGATATGCTATTCCCACGCAGCTTCTTTCAGCCAAAGGGTCCACATTTCTTTCTGAGGCACTGGGGAAGAGGGTAAGAGATCAGTTAGGAATGTATATATAGACAACACCTCTCAAAGAGCATTTACAGGTCTCCTTTCATCTTTCTTCAAATGTTTGCCTACATACACATACACACACACACACACTGTGGACACTTCTAAGTAGTAGCCAAAAATCAGTAAATGTGGAGAAGGGTTCAGGAATCAGACCTGCCATCCTCAAGGTCCCATAGCACCGTGGAAGACCAAGTAAAGACAGCATTTATTAAAAGGGTATCTCAGCCCCAGTCAGCAGTTCTGTGGATCTCAGCAGCTGACAAATTCCATATGAGAAGCCATTTGTGTGGCTTAGCTCTGGTTGAATAAACCCTAATTAAGCCAGCAAGTATTTTGTAAGTGATTAAATTACATGTTCTCACACCTTTAGATCTCCATAACTGAAACTGATAATCCTCTGATCTCTCTTTAGTCAGCACAGAAAAGATGAAGAGTCCTTGCAAGAAGTTGTTATTTAGTCAATATAACTTGATACAGCACACCTAACACCCAAGCACGCAAGCAATCTCAAATGCAAACGCACAGAAAGAAATGCCATACCACACATAATTACGAAACTAATCAACCTTCAAATGAAACACTGCATCTCTTTGCTCCTCAAGGTAAGATCAAACAAGTACACTGAGATTAAATTCAAGGATAAACTCCTTAAAGGCAGTCGATTTTCCTTTTTGTAGACTATTACGGACTTCTCTAGGAGAAAAGACAAAAAGGCTATTTGGGGAACAGACAACAGAGGGAACACATTACTAAATATTTTAAGAGTCTTCCATTAAGGGCAGATTCAAACTCACTACAGAAACAGATCATTACTGGTGGGGGGCTGGGGGAGGGGGGGAGAAGTCTAGTATGTTTTTAAAGATCTAATTATAGTTGAATGAGAAAAAATTCCACAACAACAGGGAAATACTCATCTTGGGGGTGGAATGTCAGTATCTTCAACAAACAAATCATGAATTAAATAGGAAGAAGTGACATCTTTGCTATTTTCCAGAATCCAAAGTTACAGACAGTAAAGCTAAGATAAGTCACTGAGGCGTCTCTCTGCCCTGGCTAAAAATCTTTTTTTGACCTCTTGGCCAACTAAGTTGTTCCTGGCAGACTCCTTCCTCATATTAATGGATGTTCCTGATGGACGAATAGATCCATTCTACTCCTGAGGGACAAAAGCCGAACCAAACATGATATTCAGATGCTAAAACTAAGTTGAGTACCTAAAAAGATCTAGGTAACCGTGCCATCAAAAATGAAGACCTCCAACCACAAAAAATACACCTTGAAATCTACTCTGAAAGACAGAAGCCATGCTGAAGCAATGAGTAGAGAAAGTAAATCTGATCAGATCAAGGGAAGTCCAGGACAGCCAAAGCTGCAATGAGAAATGTTACGCTCTTGAAGAGGGGTTGAGAAGAGACAGACAGCACAGAGGAACGGCAGAAAATTCTAGTAAAGTCATGGTGGCTCAGCTGAATAGCTCACAGGAATGAACATACCTCTCCAGTTTTATAGCTGCCTTACTTACCTGTACGGAAACAAAACCTTAGGCATACTCAGACATTACAATAAACTCAAGTTCTTTGGATAACAGCCTCTGAATAGATACATTAAAAAAAGTAAGTGAATATAGACAGTCACCGTAAAAATCAAGCTTTTTTCCTCAGGAAGAAGTGTGAAGGGCTAAAAGCCTACTCTGCAGCCATCACAGAACTGCATTCACTGTGCTGTATTTACCATAGAGCAAGCGTGCACATTAGCAGATACTGAAGTAGCTGCCATGCCCATGATATTTTATGCCCAAGCTTTCTTCCTAGTAAATCATTACCTTACCATTGTGGTCCTGGGCACTCCTTTCACTCCTGAAGGAAGGCCCTCTTTTCTATTTGTATAACTTAAACATGTTTTTTCCTTAAAGAAATCCTCTAGGAAAAGCAAGAGTGAGATGGGCTAGACTTTAAGGGATAACCAGCCTTAAGGACTCACATACTAGAATGCTCCTGGGGATAAATACATGAAAGCAACAGGAGAGGACCTCCAGAAGCAGCTGACAAGGAGGCAGTAGCAATGCTGTCCAAGGAACCCATTTGTTCCTCAGCTGCTCCTGCCATCCTGCTTACTTCCAGAGAAAACCATCATTCAGCACCTCCCCTCCCAGCCCCACTGCCCCCTTCACAAAGTAGTCCCTGCAAAGGAGCTGGACTTTGCCTGCTCACAAACCACATACAGCCAAGGTACACCCACCAGATGGTCCTTGCTTCCGGCAGGAAAAAAAACAAACCACCATTGGAAGAACCGAGTTACTACCATGAAGAGCAGAACAGTTAGGTTTTTGTTCTTTTCCCACTTCCAATCCCATTTCCTTACCTGTGAGGTTATTCACAGCCAAAGTGGACTAGAGGCTGTATTGCTTCTGCACAGTGCAGGCACAGGATTTCCATCTATTAACTCCTGATTCAGCTCAAAAAAAAGCCGTGTTTGAAGTACAGAATGGTCTTTTAGAAAGATACATA